GGAGCAGCCTAGAGGACAAACACCAGACCTCATCTTTCCAGACCTTTCCAGCTCTTGTGAGCCCATGACCCAAGGTTCTAAGAGGTCTTGGTGAAGATCTTCAACAAAAGTCCAGAAAACTCCTGTTATTGGAGGCTAGCAAAGAAGCGTAGGCCTCTCCATGCCCATTTCCACGGGAGCTTCCCCAGGCCCTCTCAGAGCTCATGAGCCTGCTCCCTGTGGGACGGGACTTCAGCTCTGACTGCTTGTTCCAGGGGCACTGGAGTGGAAACAAAGAAAAAAAAATGACGATTTGAGAGTGAGAGGGGGGAAATGAATCTCTTGGTGTTTTTCCAATAAAGTAATTCACTAGATAAGGGTTTTTGAGCAGTCTAAGCAGAGAAAATGAATGAGAATAAAAATTAAAAACAAAACCCCCAAAATTAACATAACTAAATGGCATGGATGATCTCAGAGGAGGAAGGGAAGCAAAGTCAGGAGAGGGGCTGCCTCACTTCCTTGGAAACTCCATCAAGTTGAGGTTGAAGCCCCTCCAAGCAGGGCCACCTGAGGTTAGCCTGACCACTGCCCAGGCTACAGGGCCAGTTCTGCCAGTCTGGCTGGTGCAGTGGAGCCATATGAGGGGCGGGCAAGTCTTTGTCAGACCTCTAACTCCATGCACCTACCCAACAATTCCTAAGAAGAAAGAGGCCCCCTCATCACTATGTACCCCCTCTTTCCCTCTTACCTTGGGGCAGCCAGAAGGATTTATTATAGGCCACAATTCTAGGGCCTGGATGATGCCAGGTCACTAATTTAAAGCCGGAGACAACCATGGTTCTTTGTTGAGATCATTTCTAAAAAATTAGTGTATGCATGTGAGGACTGAGATTTTGAAGCTCTCTCTTCTTCCCTGCCCCTTATTTTCTCCCTTCCTGTTCCTGAATCAGGCTAAAATAATACTATGAACTATAATAATGATAGCTATTCCTCCTCTCTACCATTTATTGTTCACTATATATTTGCCAGGCACACTGCTAAGTGGTTTCCTTGCATTTACTCATTTTATCATCAATAGCCACCTTGTGAGGTAGATATTATCTGTACTTCGCACCTAATAATGTTAGCTCACATTTATCCAAATCATTCCATCTGCCAGACACTGTGCAAAGAATAGGTGTTGTATCGTTATACAGAAGGTACTATTCTCATCCCCATCTCACAGAGGAGGAAACTTACTCAGAGAAGCAAGGTAACTTGCTCAAGGTTTTACACCCTGTCAGGAGCAGGCCTGAGATATCCGGGCAAGATTTCCTCAGAAGGGCTCATAGCCTGGGAAGGCCCTGCCATCATTGCAGGCCAATTCAAGCTGCTAAGGAAGCCCCCTCTAGGCATTCTCAGTAACAGCTTTACTGAGATATCCATGTTCCCTTTACTCACAACACCACTGGCACCAAACACAGGGGGTTTTCCACCTGCCAGCCAATTCTCCAGCTCTCCAGACACCAAGTGAGTGTTCTGCAATTCAATTCAGTTCTGACAGTAACTACCCAGAGAGCGCAGGCCCCACTGGTTAAGGGCTCAGTGCTACAAGACTCCCTTCACTGCAGAGGCTAATTGCAAGTCTGGGCCTTCCAGATGGACCAGCTATAAACTGGGGGTTCCCGGGACCCCCCTCCTTGAGTTTTATAATTTGTTTGAATGGCTCACAGAACTGAGAAAGAACTTAACTGTTACCAGTTTATTGTACAGGACACAACTCAGGAACGGCCAAATGGAAGAGATGCAGGGGGCAAGGTATGGGAGCAGGGCCACACCACCCTCCCAGCATCCCTGATGTGTTCACCAACCCGGGAGCTCTCTGAACTCCTTCATTTAGGAAGTTTTAATAGAAGCTCCATTCATAGGCATGACTGATTACATCATTGGCCACTGGTGGTTAACTCATCTCCAGCTTCTCTCTCCTGCCTGGAGGTCTGTGAGTGGAGCTGATAGTTCCAAACCTCTAATTACCCGTTGTTTTTTCTGGTGACCAACCCCTACCTGAAGCTGTCTAGGGACTGCCCCCACAACCAGCCACCCATCATCTCATTAGCATAAAAACAGCACCCTTATGCCTCTAGAGATTCTAAGGGATGTAGGAGCTGTGTGTCAGAAACCTAAGACAAAGACCAAAGGTACAGTCAGCCCTCTGCTCTCTACATCTGTAAATTCAATGAAAATATTTGGAAAATACAATATATAACATAACACAAACATAACAAACACACACAAAAAACAATACAATTAAAAATAACACAAATTTTAAAAATCTAGTATAACAACAATTTACATAGCATTACATTGTAATAAGTATAAGAATCTAGAGATTAAAGTACATGGGAGGTAGTGTATAGGTTATATGCAAATACCACACTATGTTATATAAGGGACTTGAGCATCATAAATTTAATTTCTGAGGGGGATTCCAGAAACCAATCCCCCACAGATATTGAAGGATGACTGTATATTTCTTATTGTTACCAGTGGCAAATCCATACGGGTCTATATCAACCTCAATTCTTGCCTCCTCAGAAGACTGAGGGGGTATAAGGCGGAGTGAGAGACCAAGGCAAGTTTTAGAGCAGGAGTGGAAGTGTATTAAAAAGCTTTAGAGCAGGAATGAAAGGAAGTAAAGTACACTCGGAAGAGGGCCAGGCAGGCAACTTGAGAGATCAAGTGTGTGGTTTGACCTTTCGACTTGGGGTTTTATGTTTTCATGCTTCCAGGGTCTTGCACTACTTCTCCCCTGATTCTTCCCTTGAGGTGGGCTGTCCACATGCACAGTGGCCTGCTAGCACCTGGGAGGGGCCGCAAGCACAGTGTGTTTACCGGAGTTGTGTGCATGCTCCCTTCAGGCATTTTCCCCTTACCAATCCAGTGTTCCTAAACAAAGGTCATCTGCCATTTTCCCTCTTAGTGCGCATGCTTGAGCCCACTTGCCCAACTCCTGGGAGCTTATTGGGAAGCTGCTGATCATCAGTTTCAGATGTTTCTATCTACTGGGAGGCGCCCTGTCCCTGGCGACAGCTGCAACCAATTATTATTTTAGCAAAATAGCTTAAAAACTGCCTGACCATCACCTGACGGTCAACTGATATTCCTGGTGGGGGTTGGCGGAAGCTCTCTCCTGCCCTGCTCCTGTCTGACTAGCTACCTATGGTAACATTATTACTTCACAAATCATATGATTCACCCATTTAAAGTCTATGATTGAATGGTTTTAATATATTCAGAATTGTGCAACTATCACCACATGTTAGAACATTTGAATCACCTCAAAAATCTCTCACACCTTAGTTATCATCCCCCAATTCTCCACACAGTGCTAGGCAACTGCTAACCTACTTTCTTTTTCAGTGAGTTTGCCTATTCTGGATATTTCATATAAATAGAATCATGCAATACATGACTTTTGTGACTGTCTTCTTTTAGTTAACATGACATTTGCAAGGTTCATCTTTGTATGCATCATGCTTTAGTGCTTCATTTCTTTTTATTGCCAAATAATATTCCATTGCGGCGCTATATCACACCTCGTCCATTCGTCTGTTGGTAGACATATGGGTTGTTTCCACTTCGGAGACATTATGAATAATGCCACTATCAACACTCAAGTAAAAGTTTTTCTGTGGATATAAGTTCTCATTTCCTTTTGGCATTTTTCTACAGGTCTCTGAGATCGTGTTAAAGACAAACATTTGAACTTGAACTTTAATGATGCCCAGAAAAGAGTGAGCTGCAGTATCTACAGATTTCTGTGCCACTAATTTAATCCACATAACAACCTTGTGAAATAGATTTTTTAAATTCATATTTTAGAGTCAGATAAATAAAATCTATTTCTGTCCTCCAAACCCAAGCTTTTAAACACTATGCAATACAGCCTCCCACTCAAATTGGGGGAAAGGGATGTTATTCCCATTTCTGCACGTAATACAGTGTGGCTTAGCAGTCTAACAAGTTCTGGAGAAACCTGTTGAAACTGCTAGGTGGGAAGGGCTCCCTGGCGAAACTCCAACCAGCCTATGCACTGGGAGGAGTGCACACCTGGGTAGAGCCACAGAAGTTTGTGCTGTTTGTAGTGGGGAGGAGTCTGGCCCCTCCTCTTCCTGTGTGGAACCTGGGGCTCGAACTGCGAGGCTGGAAGCGCACCAGCAGGCACTTGGCTTTGCAGAGAGTCCCTGTTTCCTTTTTCCCTTTACCCAATAAATCCTGCCCTGCTCATCCTTCAACTTGTCTGTGATCCTAAATTTTTGTGGCCGTGTGACAAGGACCCCACCTTTAGCTGAACTAAGGAAAAGTCCCACAACACTGTGAAAGGAAACTAAAAATCTGGGACCCCAAACTCATTATGCCAAAGGGAAAAGTCAGGCTTGGAAATGGAGTCATGTAAAACTGCCTCCCATTTTGTTCCTAAATAAATTGATAAAAAGAAAGGTGGTTACTGATCTCCCCGTGGGGGCTGCCTCACAATTTGCTTACCCGGAAATTTCTTGTTGACCCCAAGATCTTTACCCTACAACAATTCTGTTGAATTTCACCCAGACAATGTAAATTAACAGATTATCTTCACAGGTATAGGACAAAGACAGGATTCGGAGTCTTCCCTCACTTAAGACAAATGCATATTTGACTGCTTTACTGTGTATTTTATCTTACGTAAAAATGTAGATTAACCACACACCAGATGAATGCATAATTGACTATTCCTCTACCCCCTTCTTTAACATTTAAATATGGATTCAGTGAATGCTGATCAAAGCCTCAAAAGAATGCAATTGCTTTTCTCTTTTATTTACCCTACCCCCTTTTCTTTCCATTTTCCCTTAGTGCCTGCTCTTTCCCCTTGAAATACAAAAGTCCTCAAACCCTGTTTGGAAACAGCACAGATCACAGATGTTCCTGTGATTTTGTGTTCCTTTTTCCAAGGCACATGCTCAATCTTGGCAAAGTAAACCTGTAAAATGATCGAGACTTACCTCCATCACGTCGTTTGATTTACGGAACACATTGTCATTTGGCACCTCGAGTGTATTGTGACTTTGGGAATGTCTGAAGCTTGCTTCCTGGGCTGGGCAGTATTTCATGAAGGACAACAGCAGTCACAGCAGAGGAAAAGCATTTTCCTTAAGTGGCTTGTGGGTGATAGACACCAGCTAGTAAGGTGGAACAGAGGAACAGAAGACCGTTATTGCATGTGTGTGAGACATCTCTAGAGACATCTGAAAATAAATGAAAAGCATAGGCAAAGAACTAAGATGAGCCATTTAAATGAGGGAGTTAATGCTAATGTGAACCTATTTGTACCTGCTACAGGTTGTAGGGAGTTAAAGAAACCTGTGTTAAGCATACCAGTCATTTTAGGACTTTTTCCTCTTACTGTCCCCTCTGTCTGGACACCTTTACCACCACCACCACCACCACTACATTGCCAAAGTGGGAATGTGCTAAAATGTGGTGCACCTGGAGTTAGGCAGTAACTTTGCAATAGAGATAACAGAGTATGCCATTTACTGACCCTAGTTAGGGTTGTTGACTCTAATCACACTTTAAAGCTGTTTAAAGTCTGTTTGTGCTGCTATAACAGAATTACTGAGAGTGGGTATTTTATAGAAGAGAAATTTACTTTCTCATAATTCTGGAGGCTGTGAAATCCAAGATCAAGAGACCAGCAGTTTCAGCTTGCCTAGCGAAGGATGCATCCTGCTTGCAAGACAGCACCTTAATGTTGGATTCTCCAGAGGGGAGGAGTGCTGTGTCCTCACATGGCAAAAGGCGGAAGGATAAAAGGGATGAACTCCCTCTGTCAAGGCCCTTTATATGGGAACCAAATCCTATTCATGAGGGAGGAGTCCTCATGGCTTAATTACCTCTTAAAGCCCCACCTCTTGATAGTGTCACATTGGCAACACCTGAATTTCGGAGAGGACACATTCAAACAGTTACACTCGGATTTTCTTTGAAGTCTTTTTCTTTTTTTTTTTTTTTTGAGACAGGATCTTGCTCTGTCACCCAGGCTGGAGTGCGGTGGTGTGATCATAGCTCACCATAACATGCAAACCCCTGGGCTCAAGCGATCCTCCTGCCTCAGGCACTAGGATTGCAGGTGTACCACTACACCCGGCTAATTTTATAATTTCTTTTAGAGACAGGGTCTCACTATGTTTCCCTAGTTAATCTCAAACTCCTGCCTCAGCAGTTCTCCAGTCTCAGCCTCCCACAGCACTGGAATTATAGGCATGAGCTACCTTGCCTGGCCCTCTCAGAAGTCCTCTTTCACTTGTACTCCAATAAGAATACGTCATTTTCTCTCGATTTCTGGGTGCATGGATTTTTTTTCTTAGACCACTTTGTTAGTTTTGTCTTTCAGAAAGCAAAAAATAAATGTCCCATTCTAGACGCTAAGTGCTTGAAAAACAGTATGATTTATATTCTTACAGTAAGTTGAAAGATTAAGAAAAAAGATCATTCCCTTGGAGTCTTCTTTTCTCACCTCCTGCCTAGGAAACCAGCATCAACACAGTGTTTGAAAGGTTAGTAGTGCTTTTGTTGTATTCTACCATCCACATGACTTTCAAGTATAGAATTTTCTGGAGTTTGAGCACATCAAGGTTGATCCTATAGGTGATGATGAAGGCAAATAGTGCTAGAAGCAACCATAATGGATGGGAGAGTCAGAGATTTTTTGTTTTTTTGTTTTTTGGTTTTTTTTGAGACCGAGTTTCCCTCTTGTTGCCTAGGTTGGAGTGCAATGGTGCAATCTTGGCTCACCACAACCTCTGCCTCCCGGGTTCAAGCAATTCTCCTGCCTCAGCCTCCTGAGTAGCTGAGATTACAGGCATGTGCCACCATGCCCGGCTAATTTTTTGTATTTTTAGTAGAGGCAGGGTTTCTCCGTGTTGGTAAGGCTGGTCCCGAACTCCCGACCTCAGGTGATCCGCCCACCTCAGCCTCCCAAAGTGCTGGGATTACAGGCATAAGCCACTGCGCCCGGCCTGAGAGTCAGAGATTTTTAAGGGATTTTCTTCATCACCAGACCAGGGATGGAGGCCAGGGTTTGGGGACTTCACCTATGCCCTTTTCCATATAGAGGGTCCTGAAAGTTTGCTTTCTATTTGTGCTGGCAAATGATGGTGTTTCTGGGGAAGAGACAAAGGATGGCAGTGTACACTGAAATCTAAGTTATTGGTAGCCATGGGAAGAGATTCCTATGCCTGAATATGTCTGAGAAGCAGGGAGGCTACCTTCTGTCATCAATCCAGAAGAAGCATATCAACCATGACAGTGGACTGAAAGTCAAAAAGATTGTACTCAGTGGTCTGGATTGTGCAAGACATCTGGCTTGGAGGAGGTGGAGAAGGCACCAAGGAGATATGTGTAGAGCTGTTAGGAGATGAAGGCAGGAGTCTGGGTGTGATGGTGGAGAACTCTCATCTAGAGAGTCTTCGGGAGCAGCATGGCATTATGGTTGAGAACCTTGGCTTTTGTGTTAAGACATACCAGAATTCAAATCCTGGCTCTATCACTCAATACTGATGATGTGACCTTGAGCTAGATGCTTCGCCACTGTGAGTCTTTGTTTTCTCATTTATAAAATCCTACTTCATAGGTTGTTGTAGGGATTAAATCAGATAATGTCTATGAAATACTAACAAGTATAGTTCAAAAGCTTAGATGCCAACGAACATGATGTCCTTAATGTTTCTGAACTGAAATTAAAATTTTTATTTTTAATGTCATTCTGCCAAAACCGGCCCAAAACTTTAACCAACTTTAATGTGTACACCCTTCTCCTGGAAATTTTGTTAAAATGAAGACTCTAATTAGTAGGTCCGTGGTGGGGTCTGAGAGTCTGCATTTCTAACAAGCTCCCAGGTGATGCTGATGATGCTGCAGGTCCCAGAACCACAGTTTGAATAGCAAGTATCTAAAGGCATACAGAACTGACACCTGCTTAATTTACGGGGAAAAATAACAGAGAAGAAAATAGAAGACCATTGCAACTTAAAAGTGCCAGCCCAGTACATAGTGTAGTAGCCACTCAATAAATGATAAATGTTGCCATTAATCTTTAAGAACTGAAATTATCTATACCCCCAGGGCTTATTGTCTACATTAACATGACTTTATTATCCATTGTCTTCATCAACATGATTTTTCCAGGACACTCTTGCCATGGAAGATAAAGTTGCAAATAACTTTATTATCCATTTCAAGAATATACTGAAAATTTATTTAAACATTAGACTATTCATAGTCCATGTCTACTACAATATAGTTTCAAACAATGGTTTACAGTCCAAGACTGTCTTCAAAACCCTTGCCTCACTCTGTCCACTAATCCTAATATGTCATGAGATTCCCCAATTCTAATCAAGTCCCCTGAAACAAAAGGCCTGACTCAAACTACACTCCAAAACCTCATAAATATCCTGCCTTTGCCTTGCCTGCTTTGAGATGATACTAAGAATCAGCCCATTCATCTTTCAAAAGACATCTTGATGTGAGATTCAGCATTTTTCATGTCATGTACCTTCCCACCCAAGACAGAAACAAATGGGAGTGGGTGCTGCCTTGAGGGACATTGAGAAGGAGGGGGAGGAGGCCTGAGGGATCCCATATGGTGTTTCCCTTGTCAGTGACATTGAAGTCAAGGCCGCCCATGAAATGCAAATGAAAAATCCAGTTCAGTTCTGCTCACAGAAAAAGGCTGCCCATGAAATGCAGATGAAAAGTCCAGTTCTGACCCCTGCTCTTCAAAGTAAATGGCCTTCCCCCAGTTCGGGTTCCAGAGACTCAGTCCCTCACACAAACCCTGAGAACCCTGGTTTCTGCACTGGCCTCCGTGGCACTCCCAGGTTGGAGGATAGGGTTGACAAGCAACCATGAAACTTTCTTTCATCAGCGCTAGACCCAGGTTTCCCCAAGGAGAAATGGCTCCCCATCGGTTCCCTAGCAAGTAGGTAAGCAGCAGACCTATGAAGGAAGAAGATTGCCCCTAGCACCTAGAACACCTAGCAAGTAGTAGGTACTCAAAATGACTGTTGACTAAATGGTTAAAAGAAAGAAGAAATAACAAGTTAAAAAAAAATGAACAGTTTGAGATTTGTTATCAAATATCTTCTATAAAAATTCAAACCTCTCAGAAAGGATCAGAAGATCATCAATTGGACTAATATCAAAGGATTCCTTTCTAATACCTGGTGCAATCAAAAGGGCACTGGAAATTTTGATGAAGAGCTCAGGGAAGGATGGAGATGTCATTTCTGAGCTTGGACAGGAAGAAAAAGATGGTGCCAGAAGCAGAGAGAGGCAGAGATAGGGGAGTGGTAACAGAGGAAGCATAACTGATTAGATCTTGATGCTCTGTGGAACCCTAAGTCCAAGAAGTAAGCACTCACCAGCCCTGCCCTACCCACTTTCCTTTCTTGCCAGCTGAGATCAAAAGTTATGCCTTGATCTTAGCTCCTGCCACTCCTCCACTCATGGCTGAAGCCTAGAGAAGACCTGACTACAACTAGATGTAATAATAGCACTGTTTTTATAGTATTGAATGATAAATAATAATATTAGCATGGTTGTGAGGTTCTGGGCACATAGCAAGAACATACAATAAATTCTGCTGAACATAGTACTATTTGAAAATTAAAATGCATTGGACTTGCATTGAAGAAAAAAGAATAAATTAATCTTAAAGTAAATAAATCAACAGTCTAAGGAAATGGCTTCTCAGACTCCTTTGAATATCGTATTTAAGCTGTTTACATTCAACCAGAACAACCTCTCTTCCCCATTCATCTTCCTAGACTTCTCTTGTTTGACTCACTAACCTGGCAGTGTATTTTTGTTGTTGTTGTTAAAGGAGGAAAGAACTGATTGGATTAATTTCACATCTTTAAAAAAATCTATTTTGATTTGACAGAGTGTATACTCTTTGTGCATAAACAAAAGACATATTTACCATGAGTGTTCATTTTGAATTTAGATAATAGTTGTTACATTTCCATTTGTTATCTTAGATAATGACAGTGAGGTAATATCTACACACTCTTCATGATTATTAATAGCTATGTTTTCATTATTCTATGTATTTTTTAAAAAACTAAGCATAAGCCATAAAAGAGATGTGATTTCTTTCTGTATGGTGTTAATAAGTATCTTCCTTATTCTGCCTTCCATAACTGTGCTAAGGCAGAATTATCACTTTTATCACTGCAAAGAAAGATACAAGACTTTAAAATGAGCAGAAGAGATTATTGGATATCCTTTCAATGAAAGGCTGAAGGCCCCAGGAATTATTTAATTCCATCTAGGGGTGACTTTGACTAGGCTCTTTTTAATTCTGTAGAGATAGAAGTTACATTGCAGCAAACTGACAGCAGTGCAAACAATTCTTGTCTGTAAGAATGTAAATTAGGTATGTCCAGTTGGGATAAAAGTGACTATTGCTCTATGGATAGAGCACATTTTTTTTAGCAAATTCATTTTAATATTTCTTTACTGCATCAAAATTTACACATATGAGTTAAATAAAAACTTTGACATGTGTTCATTTTATGTCTGAAAGTCATAATTTCTATCATTTTTTGAAAATTATTCTTTGACATCACATTTAATTTTAGTCACGAATTTTCAGTTAATTAGTAACTTTTACTGACTTGTTGATTCAGTACAGATGTGGCCTTCTGCCATTTTGGTCAGCACAGCAAGATGGGACAAAATACTTACAACTTAAGAACAAGATCCTGGCCTAAAATCCAATCCAAGTAGAAACCAGTTTCTTTCACCCAAATTTCCAATTCATTTGATACTAACTCACACGCATGTCGGCTAAGCCTATTGACAGTGGTTTCAACAGAGATGGTAATAGCCAAAGTAGGCAGCAATTGTCATGGGGAACTGGAAGGGGCTTCTATATTTAAAAGATTCATTCTGAATGAGGCTGGGATTTTGGTTAATGGTTG